TATTTACGCTTTATTCAGGAACATAGCCCGTAATATTGACGACTTTTAAACATATTCAGAGCCTGGCTAGTCAATTCTTAATGAACCAACCAAAACAAAACCGCTTCAGCGTTTGGTTTATATAAATCGTGTTATGACCAAATGTATTCGTATCACAACTTTATTTGACTATGTTGTCTATAACGCTGTACGTTTCCTGAAATCAAAGATGTATAAACGACGCGTGTGAGAAATGTATGTTGAACCGACGCAAATACTCGTCTATACAAAATGTATAAAGACTTAATTTCGGCCGAATTGTTTTGTGATGTATTGTCCATTACGATATTTGACCACGTAATGGCCGAAGCAAAGCAAAACTTTTTTGTATGTTTGTCTTAAAACTGAAAGATATTACAAACTTTTTATTTGGAAATTTGTAAATATGGACTGGGACGATGATTATCACGATGAAAGTGAATTTTATTACCCAAAAGAGCTGGAAAATGGTCCTGAAAACGTAAACATAAACACGAACCGATACAATACCGAAAACTATGCACCAGAAAACATTCAAGATTACATGATGGCTCAACGCCCAGAAAGTACGGTAAAGAAAACTCAGTATTTTAATTGAATTGTTTGTTTTCTAAAGTAAAGTAATTAAATATCAAAATTTCTTTATTGTTTTGTTTAATTTCTATATGCGCAATCTAATAAAACCGTTGCCATTTGCCTCTGAGTCTTCGACAAAAAATAAACTATAAGTTATTTACCGTTTAGGTCGGTCCCGATAGAAGAATATTTTGTCTCGGTCTCGAAAACGTCCCTCGGAATTCGGCCTCGGGCCGTTTTTGAGACCTCGACAAAATATTTTTCTATCCGGACCTCCCAGCCGGTAAATAACATATATTTCTTCTTTATTTTCATTATGAAAGCACAAATAAGAGCTCATTGAAAAATTGACCAGCTGAAAAAATGTATACATTTTGTATTTAATCCACGCAGGATCCACGCGGGCTCGTATCCGTGCAGACTAATCTTTAATTAATATATTAATGTTTTTAAAATTGGCATGAGAGCAAAGCCTGATCTTTTCTTGCTGAGAAAATAAAGCTCTGCCGTTTTGGTGTTTAATTTCTGTCGATCGAGCATGCTTTGTTTCGGTTGTCTGGAAAACACGTGCACGTACACACGAACACGTACACGCGAGCATGGAAAACGGCGCACGTGGAAAACACAGTTAAAAACAAATTACTTACTAAACTAGAAGTTACTATCGCAAGGAAAGTGCTGCCTCACTCGCAAGGGATCAAAGAAGGCACCATGCGCAATTTGCTGAATAAGGGGTTGTTTTTATGATACCGCTTTGCCAAGACAAGATGGGAGACAGGATGATTTAGATCTATCTCAATAAGTCATGATGCACACTGAACAACAAAAAACTTCATTATTTCTGAGAGATAGCAATAGTTACCTGTAGATATAAACTGAAAGGTTGTTCAAGCCATAGAGTTTATAAATAACACTAGAGGAGGCACTGTAATTTTAATTCAGTTAAAAAAGAGAACGCGGTTATTGGGGGCAAATCCAAGTCGCCGATGTGTATTCATGTTTCGATTGGTGACGAGTTTCAAATCAGCCAATGAGAGCACGATTTTATATCCGGGATTTGAATTTGCCCCCCATTAGCTGCGCTCCCAATTTTTAACCTCAATGCCTCCTCTAGCATCATTTATAATCTCTATATGGTTCATGCAGCAATATTAATCTTCTAGGACTACAAGATCTGCTCTACAACAATTGAGTTCTGTTAACCAGCATTTGAACATTTAGCCTATATTGACTTATTTCAATACATCAAAATCATCCCACCTTCCATCATGTATTAAACAGCCCCTGAGACGCCTGTTCAGGAGGAAGGAAAAGTGCAATTTGAATACCAAACACCTTGCACAAAGTCAAAAGTCAGCTAAGTATTCTAATTATACTTTCTTGGCATGGGTGATTTTATATGTTTACTTCAATGCTTATAACTTCTTGCTTTTGTATGTATAATTGCAATACTGTCAGTGGTGAAGGTAGCAGTAGCAACAGGTCATGCTACGTACGGTTTTTAGGGATTTGCATTGCAGGTCTATTAGCATATCTTGACCAGTAATTACCATGGCTAGCTTGCCAGGCACTCAATACTGCACAATAATATATGTTTAAACAATAATAATACTGGATTGAATCATGAATTTAATTAATAACAATTTCATATATATAAATAATAAGTCAGCCTTTGTCCCAATTATCGTTTTAATGGCACCTTCAAGGCTACCCCTATCGCAGAACAACTGAACAGTCTGCTGATGGGGAGACAAAATCTATTTGCTCACATTTTTGTTTAATACGTCTGCTTCAGATGACACCATTCATTTGTAATGATATGATAAATCCAGTATTTATACAAAAAATGTCTTTGCTTCGCTCCTTACCTTGCGTTTATATGCCACAAAGCTGAACAAAGCTGCAGAGTGCAGATCGAAATATTTTTTAAACGCCATTCTTGGTACGTCGTTCGCAGATCGCTGAACAAAGTATTCGCCAGTCGTCGATTTGCTATCGTAAACTCCTGGGGTATGCTAATGTACCAATGTAAATTCCTTACTGCAACGTCATAATATGACGTCACAACTGCCGACACAAAATCGAGATACGCTTCAGTATATAAAACTGTTGGCGGGAAATTCAAATGCGCTATAACACATCGTCAAGAATAGGAGGCTGCCTTAGGCAGCAATAAATACCACCAAACAAAAAATGGCAATATGTTTTCTACAGTAAAATTTTACCCATTTCGGAAGGTAAATCGGATAAGTCGATAATCTAAACGAGTATATACTGTTAAAATTAAAAGATGTTTAATTCAGAAGGGTAGCCACACCAAATCGCAAAAAATGTAAGGGAACATAGACATAATCTATAATTTGCAAAATATTGTATTTTTCGTTTGTAACAAAACATTTTATATAGGGTGTCTCGAAAAAAACTCTTTTCAACGGTATGTCGTGCGTCATAAACGTGGCTATAAACAATTAATTGTTTACATACGACGAAAAAACAGTTATTTAGCCGTTTTCAATGATACCCTTTTTAAATCGTAACGATGAGAAATGGCCACATACTCGTTAAATAAAAATTGCCGGTCGAAATCCCTGAGTTTCAGCCTGGCTACCCGCAGTGGCATAACGTACTGGCGGGTGTCCTGTGACGAAAAGCCCCCAACACCCAATAGCCAGTGACAATACCGCCTTACACGGGGTGGGATAAGCAACACACAACATATAATAGGGCACATAAAAAGTTGCATAAACCACTCTAAATGAGCCCATGGAGTAATTAAAAGAATACAAAGGCATTATACTATCTTGTCAACTATATTTTATTGTTAAAGAGTAGTTATTTGACTAATTTAGCCTTTCACACGCCGCCATTTAATATGGGGTACTGACTTTTCCAAATGCAATGTGCAATTAATGATTAACACTACGAGTGCAATTAATGATTAACACTACGAGTGATATTTGAAAATATTACTCGCAGTGTTATTTATTTATTATATGCATGACAAAATCGCTTTCTTTATATTTCAACTGCGTTTTGTCAAGAGTTTTTAAATCTTTTGTAAGCAATTTGGTATAAACAACTTGGGAAATGATTATAAACCCATAAAGGCACATAACTTAAACTAGAACACAAGATTCAAACTCAAGCAACATATTTTAAACTAAGAAAATCTTTATAAATTGTATTTCAAACTTACGTAGTCACGTTTCGCTGCATCCCGCCAAGATTATTTCTTAAAACTGTTTCCAGGTATTTTCCACAGGCTCTTTTTGCCGCCATATTGGATTTTGTTGTTTTGATTTCTCGCTCCCCCCAGCCATCACGAAAATCATTAATTGAACTCCTGAAGAGTGCAATTAATGAAACAATTGCACTCCTCTTAACCAATCAGATTGCAGTAATTTTGTCATGTATATAATAAAGGTCTTTAAGAATGTTTTGACATATATATAGAAACTTTATTTATACACGCTGACCCCGTCAACCGAAGCTGATTTCCACGGGGGGCGTGTGCAAAAATAGAAAAATGTTACATGGAGATATTAAAATACTTAAGTTTAAAAAGGTAGAATATTAAATTATTTACATGATAAGAAGGTTATTAGAATATTTACAGTTACATCAATTTACTCTATGTCAATTTTGTGAGCAGCAATTTTATTTCTAAAGGATGAAAGAGTTTTGCTTTCCCTAATTTCCTTTGGAATACAATTCCAAAGGTGTGCTCCGTCATACATGAAACTATTTTTCATGTTGTTAGTACGCGGTTTTGGTAAACTAAGACCACTTGAAATGTCACGAAGGTTGTAGTTTGTTTTCTCACATTTGTATGAAAAAAGATTGGTGAGTGATTTAGGACCCATTTTATTTAATACTTTGTACATCATTTTTGCCTTAGCTTTCTTCCTTTCAGTTTTGAGTGGCTCCCAGCCCAATGCACGTAGAGCAATGGAATGATTTACGTCATTACTCATGTTCAAGATAATTCTAGCAGCTCTATTTTGAAGTTTTTGGAGTCGTTTTGATTGTGATTCACCAAACACATCCCATACTTCACAACAGTAATCAAAGTATGGGCGGACAATAGCATTATATATCGAAATGAGTGTATTTTTGTCAACGAAAGGTTTGACTCGGCGAATAGCAGAGATTCCTGCAGTTATTTTTTTGCATATATTTTCGGAATTACTTTTCCAAGACAAATGCTGGTCAACTATTACTCCAAGAGTTTTGCATTCGCTAACTTGTTTAATTTGCTTATTTTCAATGAAAACATTTAAATGTGAATCAGAATTTTTTTTAATCATTGCGTTTGAACCAATTAACATAAATTCTGTCTTAGCTACATTTAGACTAAGTTTATTGGCAATTAACCATTTTCTGAGGTTTTCCAAATCAGAATTTACTGCAGTTTCAAGGTCAATTATAGAATCTCCCGATGCTGTCAGATTTGTGTCGTCAGCAAACAATCGAGGTTTTGTTTTGTTTAGACACTGAGGTAAATCATTTATATATAGCAGAAAGAATAGTGGTCCTAAGATAGAGCCTTGTGGTACACCGCATTTAATCAATCGCTCTGTAGAAAAGGAATTCTTAATTTGGCACTTCTGGTTTCTGTTTGTGAGATAAGATTTGAGCAAAGTTAGAGCTTCTCCTTTTATTCCATAAAGTTCTAACTTCCTCAATAGAATTTGATGATCAACAGTATCAAATGCTTTTTTTAGATCAATTAGGACTACTAGGTTAAACATTTTTCTGTCTAGATTCATATACCAATCATTGGTACAGTCCAGTAATGCAGTTGCTGTAGAATGAGATTTTCGAAAACCGAATTGAGAATCGCTAAGGAGTTCAAATTTTGTTAAATAGTTATACAGTTGATCATACATAATTCGCTCCATAATTTTGCTAATCGCAGGTAAAACTGATATTGGTCTATAGTTTCCTGGAATATTCCGTTGGCCATTTTTATACAAAGGTATTACTCTTGCCATTTTCCATTCATTAGGAAAGGAGGATAGAATTATAGCCTGATTGAAAATAAACGTCAATGAGTCTGAAATAGCTGGTGCAGCTATCTTAATAATTTTACAAGAAATTTTATCAATGCCAGTGGCTTTATTGCTGGAAAGCCCATGCAAGAGACGACAGACATGACTGACAGTAACAGGCTGGAATGCTGCAAATTCTGATTCAGCAGTTTTAGTATATGTTTCAAAATTATAATTTGAAGTATCAATTTTGCTAGCTAAATCAGGCCCAATATTTGAAAAGTAATCATTAAAGCCCTCTGCAATATCTTTGGGAGTTGTAAAAATTTTTTCCACTAGATTAATCTCATTCACCACTGTTGGTTTGTTTTGCCTACCTAATAAGTTGTTTATACTTTTCCAAGCTTTTTTAGGATTGAATTTTTGACCAGCTATTTTTGAGGAATAGTAATCTTTTTTGGCATTCCTTAGTTCTATGTTTACTTTGTTTCTAGACGTTTTATAATCAAACCAATCATTTTCTAGGTTTGTTGAAATGGCTTTTCTTTTTAATTATATCACTTGTAATCCATGGGACTTTTTTAGACCTGATTTTTTTGCATTGAAGTGGTGCATGCTTATCTAGGACGTCTACAAATATTTTTTTCCAAATCTCCCACATATCATTTGGGTCTTCAGCAAAAAAATACACTTGTTCCCAGTGCTGTTTGAGCAGTTCCGCAACAAATTTTTCTTCATTAAAATTTTTCATGTTTCTCATCTCAACTATATTCTCTTGTTTCTTTATAACAGGAATTTTCCTGATAGCAAATATCAAACTATGATCACTTATACCTGTGTGAATGACACCAGAATCAGAAATTTTTTCTGGTGTATTAGTAACCATATGATCAATTAGACTAGTAGTTGTCATAGTTACTCGAGTAGCTTCATCTATCAGTTGTGATAACTGATATAATTCATACAAAGACTTTATTTTCTTTGTTGGTATGTTATAATCTTTATCTGGTCTTAGCAAATCACAGTTTAAATCACCCAGAATATACATTTCCTTATTTTCATTATCTATAGCTTTGATCAGTTTTTCAAAATGATCAAAGAATTCTGATAATGCACTGGGTGGTCGGTAAACTGTTGTAACAACAAAAGGTTTGCTATGTGGTTTAATAATTTCAACACAAACAGCTTCCAGTTCAGAAGGAACTAGATCATCTCTTATTTTGTAATTGATGGAGCTACGCAAGTAAATACAAACTCCACCACCATTCCTTGATCTATCTTTTCTGACAATATCATAACCATCAAGGTTAATCATATTATCTGTTATATTCGCATCAAGTCGTGTCTCATTAAATGCAATCAGATCAATGAACTTTTTTGACATTGAAAAATTAATTTCATCTATTTTTTTAGGTAAACTAACAATATTCAGAAAAGCCATTTTAAAACCTCTTTCATTCGGGATTGAGCTAAGGGTTCTCATAAAATCGCTGCTCACATTGCCCCTTGTTATATCTAATCTGCTTTCTGTTTCATCACTTGCTTTACATGGGCCAGATACATCGTCCAGTCTTTCTGGTGCCCATGACTTTGGCGAAAAAAATGGCTGTCATTACGACTTGAAGCCATGTTGGTGTTTCCAATTCTATCAGACTTCAAGTAGGTGCAGAAAGCACCTCCTAGGGCTTTATCACCTTCACGATTTAAATGTAGTTTTGATCTGTTTAATAAAGGTTTGTCTATGCAACTATTATCAATAAAAGTAATCTTATGTTTAGAACATAAACCATGAACTAAATTATTGTATTGCTCAATTTTTTTATTGTTTAGCTTACCATCATACCGCTTGATTGTACCAGAAACTGCAATTTTCTCGGTGTGGACCTTGACTTTGTTGATGAGGTTTTCCAGGTTGGCTGCTACCTTCTTGGGTTCATCACGTACCAGGTCATTTGTGCCAACATGGATGATGACGGTGCTGAACTCTTGCTCTGATTCGTGGTTTCCAAATTTCTCGGTAAGCTGGTTCACTGTGGCTCCACTGTATGAGTGTGAGACAGCTTTACTTCGAGCAGCTCTTCCAATTTTGCATGCATCAATATTCTTGACCATGGAATCCCCTATCACCAA